GTTCGCGACAAATTCTATTAAAATCTTCAGCTAGATAAGAAAAAAGAACTTGAAGGAGTACAGAAGGGAAAGGCATTAATTAGACTACCTGTAGCAATTTGTTTGGAACCACCTGATATCTGGTGTGTACTTTAATACTCTTCCAGTCTTTCGGATCAAGCTCAGACTTAATTCAAGTGTTCTCCTTGGAACACGCATACAAATCCACTCAATACCTTCTTCGACGCGGATGCAACATTGTTAGCCACAAAACCATTAAAAAATAATAAAGACACCTTTTTTACTCTCAGCATTGCTTTTTCATGTCTGGCTGCTAAATTGCACCTACCTCGACATGTCGCAATGTTCCCTTTGTGGCGCATTCCATTAGCCTGCATAGATAACATGCATAATGCCGGAGATGCCAATATAGCGTTCCGAAATTTTTTTCAAAATAAAAGAAGGCAGCAAGGGGAGGTGGATAAACGCATTCCAGAGAGAACAAAGAGGTTAAAAGGACCAGACGAACCTTAAAATAAGCCTCAGGCATTATGTGATTACATAAAATCACCTCATTCGACATAACGCTACCAAACTTATCTACGCATTTCATATACATTTTTCAAGAAACATATTTTTTCACATGATATCCAATGCATAATCGTAGGCAATCAAATTTGTTTGTTTCATATTTTTTGAAACCCCTAATCTTTTGTTATTAAATCAAAATTTAATAACTGATTCACTTTAAAGTTTTGCGATTATTGTAAAATTTTTTCGTTTGAGTCTTCTTCTCTCGCTGCGAACCGTTGAATTCCAAAGTTGCCTTTGCAGGCTATCTTCGGCATGGCCAGCTCAGATCTAGATGCGAAGGTTCTTCGTCAGGTTGAGGTACTGTGCGTTTATATTAACTTTGTCTCTTAGTACTACTTTGGTGATATAAATCTCCCTAAAGATACTTTCTTAAAAAAAACCTTGGAAGAGAACGGTGGCTGTACGTCGAGTCTCATTCTCATTTGTTTTAGGGATGCCTTTTGATGTCTTGCTAAAATTCAAAAGACTCAAACAGCTGTCTACCGATATTGATGTTATAAAAAATGCGTTGATGAAATCTGAGCTGGTTGAGGTTGGCGAAAATGGTGTTCGCCGTGTGCTTTCGAATCCAGCACCAGAAACTCTATCTGAGGCTCTCGCCATCCATGGCGACAGAGCTCTGTACGTAAAAGGATTCCCCACTACTTTGTCGCTTGATGAAATAATTGCATGGCTTGAGAGTACTGCCGGCGAAACCTACGATGTTTTCTGCAAACGATTTCCGAACAAGTTATTTAAGGTAAATTGTCGTTTTTAAACGATGAAATTTATTCAGGGGAGTATTTATGTTACGTTTAAGGAAAAGGATGCTGCTGACAAGTTTATGACATCCCCAGATTGTGCCGAGTACGAAGGGAAACCTCTTCTCCGCAAGTGGTAGTAAGTTTGTTGTGTGGAAATAGCGTCTCGAGTGCGAAATTTTGTACTCATTTGATTGCTTGCGAATAAACTCATTGTTGTTGACATGCCTCACTTAGCAAAGACTACCTGGAGGACAAAATAAAGGCAAGAAAAGCAAGAATCGAGGAGAAGGCAAAGAAGAATGATCGCAAGAGAGCAGAGATTGTTTCCAAGATGACGGCTGGAGCTCTTATTGAAGTTTCTGGCCTTCCAGTTCAAGGTACGCTGTCTTCTGGGTGTAGGATGTATGGATCGTCATTTTATGCGTTGGTATTTTATGCCGATGGGTAGATACTTTGTCCCCCTTGAGTTGTCCTTAACCCCACGTAAAGCTAAGAATAGTTGCTTTGGTGTATTCCAAGTCATTTTGCAAGGTGGCTTTATTTTGGTTGGCTTTACGGGTTATGCTTGTTTTACGAGTTGCATGTATCGTTCTCTTTGCGTTTACTAAATCGATTTTGTTCTGGATTAAGTTCTGAAGGAGGAGGAATCGAAGTCGGAGAGGTGTGCTGATGAAAACGACGAAGGTGAAGCGAAAAACAATTCAGAATGCAGGACAGATTTACCAGACCGTGATAAAGGAGACGGAAGTAGGCAGACGGTGTCTAATCTCAAATTATGGTTGAATGAAATGGTAATGTTCCCATACACTCACTGGTATCATCGGCTTACTTCGCGTTTAATCAATCTTCTACTTTCTAAAAATTTCAGTTAAACTCCACTATTCCTGTTGCTTGGATTGACATCGACCCCTCAGGAAATAAAGCGATAGTTCGTTTTAAAGAGCCTGCTTCTGCTGCGCCGGCCCTTACTAAGCTTACCAACGCATTTGAAGGAGGCAAAATTGTGTACAACGATTCAGAAATTACTGCTAGGTTAATTGAAGGTGATTTGCGCTTTGACGTATTGCATTTAATGCGTTAACTGATATCAGCACTTAGGATTCGGGTAGCGCTCACGTGGCACTTACATGAGCTTCTTTTTTAGGTAACGAGGAGATAGAAATTTGGGGGAAAATCCTGAACACGATGAAGTCAAAAAAGCGAAAAGCTGGAAGATCTAACGTAAGTTTGGGCTGTAATTGTTAGGTCCCCTTTTTGCAATAGCTTGAGGGTATTATTAATATTATTACGGTTTCCCTAGCCATTCCGTATTCCCGCCATGAATTTTTACTTTATAGGATGGGAGCATCAGTATATATTCAATTTCAGTTGGGTTATTTTTTTGTGGTATCCTATTAAATCCTCAATGTTTGAACAATAGGTGCTGTGTGTTCGTATTAATAATTAGTAAGTTTCAAGAACTGTGTCATTGCCGCATTGGTTGTTCCGCTCTCGGTCGTATTGCTCAGTTTATGGCTCACTAAAACTTTGTTGTTATGCCCTTATTAAAATTATAGTGACATGCGAAGCTCTGAGTGGTAAATTGCGGTTTTTTCTTAATACTTCTTTTGACTAGGGTGGAAAATTCGGGAGCAAACGTCGTCGACACAACTAAGTTTGTACACAATGTCATCCTTTTTAAGTACCCAATAAATTGTGTTAATCCGTATTTGTTTTGTTTTGCCTATGGTATGGCGTGTTCTGGTACGCTTGTTGTCAACCTAACTGCATGTTCACCCGAGTGATCTTCAAGTGTGATCTATGTGATTTTTCTCGTTTACTTAGGCATCGAGAAACCCGGGTCGAAGGCCCCAAAGAACCATCACATATGCGGATGAAAGGTCATCCGCCGTAGGTTCAGCCAGTCTAAATAATAGACGACGTCGATCGAATCGGCGTTATCCAGCCGGCTCCACTAGGCAGAGAAGTGACAATCGGAAACGCATTTTACAGAACGCCATAAGAGATATATACCAGTTCATTAGGAAACGCCATTTATTGGCTAAATGGAATCGAGTTGGCGTTTTGTATCGCAGGAATGATGCCCTCATTGATAAACAGCTTAAGGAAGCTGCAAATCGTAATTGGAAGAACTTAAGTGTGTCGATTAATGGAGTTTCTTCTAATGCGTTATTGCTGGCGGCACCAGTTGAAATTCCCCAGTTGTACAGTCAGTTGGGCCGATTTGAAGCTAAGATAAATGGATACGTTGCCCGTGTTGGCGTATCCATAATTCCTCCTGTAGGTTTTGCTTTGCAACGGTTGCTCATTAATTTTGTTGATCCGTCATTTGGCAGATTCTGTATAGTTTTTTGAATGCCATTGTCATTTTAGCTGGTTCAATTGCTGATAGCACAACGAACGTGGAATAAGTTCCCGAATTAGTAGGGTATCCTCTTTGGTCCTTTGCTCTTCGCTCCCTCCTTATAATGTGTCATGTTACTGGGATTTTACGAATTCATAAGGTAGTCAATTGGGCTTAATGATCAGACAACCCCGACGACATTTTTTATTGTAGTTAGTAAGTAATGGTTAGTATTTACAAATTAGGTGGATCCCGTTCCTGCTATGTCCAGTTGGGCACCCGTGCAGCTGAATTATTCCGTGGAGGACGAGCCTGTACTTAATCATTTACCGTACATGGGAGAAGAACAGGCTCAAGATGATGTCTTTTTGGAAGAGCTACTCAACAACTATGATGGGCGTCTACATGGGAATTTTCCTTTTGATTTTGAGTCGCATCTGACCGTGGAGCTGGTTGACACCGTACATTCCAAATGGGCAACCTTGCCTAATACTGAAGTCGTTGAAAGTCCAAAGTCCTTACATTATGATTGTGAAGGGGATTCTCTGGAGAAGGAGCTCTGTGAACAGTTGGCGGTTGAAAATCCGGACGTAATTCTAAGGGCGATGTGCCACATGTTTTTACAAATTCTTAACGAATAGTGTTATGCGTATTTCTAACTGGTGGCAATGTTACCGGCACGCATCGATTATGCTCTCACGTTATCCTATTCATTACTCATGGCATTATTTGCTTTCTAGAACGTTGTTCAGGAAGGTTGTCAGAATGAAGTCAGTGCTGTTTCTTACAAGTCAAAATTGTCCAATTTTGCCTCAAATCCTTTCAAATGCTCTTCGAGTTCTCCGAAGAATTCTGCCGTGGCAGTGGATGCTCCTGCTGATTCGAATGTTTCGCGAATTTCATCGGATTCAGGTGTCTCTGATTCCGTTTTCAAGGTCCTTTAATATTGCTTTACCATCGATCTGCAACGAAAATAGAATACGACATTCAAGATATTCGTTGTTTCTTAGGCAATTGCCTTGACATTCGGATCCGTTGAAGATTCAAATAAGCTTCAGGTCCATTACTGCGAAATGAAAAATGCTGGGAACAACTCAGTCGTGAGTAATCCACCTTTTCATTGTCGTCTTAATGTATGTCTTTGCTTTCATGGTGCATTTGAACCCTAACATCCCAGCGTTTTCATTGAGTCGCTTATTCACATTCACTTTTGAATGAGGAAGGTAGGGACAACTTTTGGGACTTTCATTGATTTCCGTGGCATATAGAGCCTTCCCTTTGACATAGCTGCTTTAACACTGCTGGTTTAGCCATCCGAATCTGGCACACCATCATGCCCGAATTTGGATGACCCTATTGAAGTGAAGGAAGTTTGTGAGCGAGAGCAAAAGCGACCTTCTCGGCATGATGCTCTGCACACATTTCGTGCCCTCTTCTGCAGACGTTGCTTCAAATACGACTGTGCTCTTCATCCCTACAAGTCCACACAAACCATGTGGAGTCACCGGTGGCCTGTGAAGTCGTGGGCATGCTCAAGTAAATTAGCTTGTGTATTTCCATGAATTTTTAAACGCATTGCTTTTACTATTGGACTGTTTTAAAGATAATATTTATCAAACTGTGGCTATGCTCCCCTTATAGATCTTCCTCTTTGTGGTCCCAATTGTGTTCGTGCACTTCGTAGTGCAGGAACAGAAAACGCGGGAAAGGAATGCAAAGTTAAGGAAGGTGATAAAGAACCGGAGTGGGAAATCTCTGAGCAGACACTTTTTGAAGTTCTTGCCCCTATATATGTTCCTTTCGGTCAACCGAGTTTCCATAACCATAATTGGTGCTGCGTCCTTTCGGGTTTTATCAAAACTCGAACTTGTAAGGAGGTGGGCTTCTTGATTATTCCTCTGTGAATACCCATATCCGTTCTTGGGATTTGTTGAGGCCTTAACTTAGCCTCAAGTCGCTTTTTGCCGATTGTCTGTCCACTGAAATAACTTCTCATTCACATCATTCTGATTTAAGGAAGTGCCTTCAACTTCTAGTATCTTTTCAACCAGGTACTTCGTTATTGCGAAAGTAAAATATCAAAAGATCCCTTTCTTCTGTTTGGTCATGATGCGGGTCAATCACGCCTTGTTAATCAGTATAATGACGAGGTCTCCATTCCAAGCCTCCGTAATGGGAAACGTTTTTTTGGCGACGCCAACTCTGACTTTGATGATCTAATCTCGGATGATGAAGATGGGGTAGGAGCGAATGGGGATCTTGTTGGATTCTTGGTTGGAGGAAAAAAAAAGCGGAGGAAGGCTAAACGGTCGCGCACCTCCCTTGTAAAGCATCCTTTTGCCTCACGCCGCTTCGGTAGGTTTTGTTAGCCTTGTATTTGCAGATCTCTGTTCTTAATCTATTACCGCAGTTGTGCAGCACTTAGCAGCAATCGATCTATTTAATCATGCTCCCCACTTTCGCTGCTGGTCAAGCTTCCTCAAGCCAAATCAAGTGTTGTATAAGTTCGTAGACGTAATGTGTGCCACTAGGCTCAACGACCAACTAAAATTGGCTCTTTCATCTCAGGCTCCGTAAACGAGACCAGTGACCCACCTCCTGGTCACATGGGTAAGACAGAACTGACCACTGGATGCCTTTCCAACTACTTTCAGCCCTGCGATCATCCTGGCTCCAGATGTAACGAGTCTTGCAGCTGCAAAAAAGCCGGCAACTTTTGTGAGAAGTTTTGCCAATGTCCAGTCGACTGTTCCAATCGGTGAGTTAAAGGAGTGTACGGAAGGAAACGTTAGGGCACTGATTGCACTTGGCGTTAGCCTTTTATATGTCTTTGATATAGGTGTTTCACTTGAGTCTGTACATTGCACGTACGCTTATGCAAGTTAGTGATTTCCTACTCCGATCACTCGATTATATTTTGCCTGGTCACTTCGGGAGCAGTCCCTCCTAAAAACAGAAGTTTTGTCAGAATACGTTACATTACGGAGGTATGACCACCAATACGCTTTGATTTTAGGCTCTAGAAACGTTGCTCTACTATGATTTTCTCATTTCAACATAGATTCACGGGTTGCCGGTGTCGTGGTCAATGCAACTCACGTGTGTGTCCTTGCGTGCTGGCCATTCGTGAATGCGACCCTGACCTTTGTCATTCCTGTGGTGCGGGCACATCCAGGCAGCCTGTGGTGGCAACCCATGAAACTGCTCTAAATGTTGACGATAATGGCAATAGTAGCTCAGGTCTAACCCATGCAATCACCTGCCGCAATGTTGCCATTCAAAGGGGTCTGCGCAAACATCTCCTCATGGCGAGCTCTGATGTTGCTGGGTCCGTTGCTGTCCTACTTGTTTTTTGGCTATATATTTTCTACCCCATTCACAACCACTACCACTTACACCACTTTTACAGATTCAAATACTTGTAAAAGCTCATTTTATTCGCATCTTATTTTCTATAGATGGGGAATATTTATGAAGGATGGTGCGGAAAAAAATGAGTTTATCTACGAGTATTGCGGAGAGATAATCAGTCAAGACGAGGCGGAGCGACGAGGCAAGATCTATGATCGTACCATGTGCAGCTTTCTGTTCAATCTTAACCGTCAATTTGCTGTGGACGCTATGCGCAAAGGAAATAAAATTAGATTTGCCAATCACTCCATTAATCCTAATTGCTATGCTAAGGTCAGTTTTATTAAGCGTACTTTTGGGTCCCTGCTACCGACAACACGTAAAATGCTTGTGCGTTTCATTTTCTTCTTGAAGTCGGAGTTGTGCATCATTTTAATGCCATATATAAGCCTATCAAATATCCTGTTAAAAATAGATGGGCTGTGGACCTGTGCTGCGGTACTGTTTTACTCGTTACTTTGGTTGTCAGGGTCTCGACTCATTGGTTTGTTTATTTATTCCAGGTGTTGATGGTGAACGGAGACCATCGTATCGGGATTTTCGCGAAACGGGCCGTCCAACCGGGCGAGGAGCTTTTCTTCGACTACAGGTATGGTCCTACGCATCAACTGAAGTACGTGGGCATCGAAAGGGACGATGAGATGGCGGTAGCTACCCAGGCTGCAGCCGTCGCTCTTATCGATGGCGGAATCAGTTCGGGCTTTGCGCCCTACGCTACAAACGGCTGAAGAACAATATCCCGGGCCGAATCCTTCTTTCGGTTGCGCATCGTGTGCGACACCATCGCGTTCATTAACATCAAGCTGGGTTACCTCCTACCCTATTATGACCTATATGCGTAATCCCTAGGGTAGGCTTAGGGACACACAGTTCAATATTTATTCCGCCATCTATCCGAAAACCTTGGCCAATATTCGTGTTAATATCAATGAATTGGGTTGGGGTCTGTCAGTTTATTGGAGTATATTGAATAGCTCGATCCTGCACTCCTTTGGTCCATTGATGAAGCTACGGGATCTACATTTCGAAGGCCTGTTTCTTTTATGCGGAAAGAAAGCGTCCACATTGGCGCTCCTGTGTTTTAGCGATATTTGGTGTTGTTAACACTGTGGGCTAAGACTGGTATCGGTATTTCGAGGCGTCATTGCCCTTAATCTAGCAAAAGTCAACACTGAAATAGCCGTGCTGTTTGATAGGTTGGGCGGTATAGAACAAGGGCAAAGGTTACACTGCGCGGTTATGAGCACATTTGAGCAACTCAAAGCTGTTTGAGAGGCGAATTTGAGGCACGGAGTATTGATTCAAGGTTGGCGGAAGGACTATTCTTCAAAGAAGTTCGGTCCGTGTCCATTGGTTCGTAACCAGCATTATTTTCGTCCACGACTGCGCCCGGATCTTCGGCTCCTGCTTCACATTCATCGTCCTCGTCGTCTTCATCTTCGGTTTCATCATCTTCTTCGCCTAGATCTTCCTCGCCAACATCCTCAAAATCAGCCTCAATCCCCTCCTCGTCATCATCTTCGCCCTCCTGTTCATCCAATCTCTCTTCACTCTTGGAATCCATCACTTCTAACGCATCAACATCCTCCTCCTTTTGTTCAGGCTCAGGGCATCCATCAAGCAAGCCATCACCCCAATCGATGGGGAATCGAGTAACGCGGGGGTCCGAGGCGATGATAGATCTTTCCAACTGAAGAGTGAGGAACAAGGGATTGCACATTACCTCACTTAGCAAGGGCTCAGCGGGAGGGTCGTTACGGAGTTCCTCCGATTTATATTCGTTATTTACGTAGTATCCTATACGGATAAACTCTTGCTCATGATAAAGCGCCTGTATTAGCACGACAGTAACTCCGACAAGATCCTCCGGTAGGATTTTCTTTGGATCAGGCGCGTTGACCTAACAACATTGGAAGAATTCACGACCATACTACCTCAAAAACAAACTGATGTCTACCGACAGGAACGGGACCGACTAATATTGAGTCCAAGGTTTGGTCTAGGGAGGAGTTGTAGGCACTCCCAACGTAGACAACTTTCCACTCTAGGTCTACGTAAAATACTTAGAGGGCAACCACTGGAGTTACCGTCCTCCAAGGGCTCATGACACTCAAACGTTATCCGAAACTTAAACTTGTCAAAAAACGTGCTAGGGTTGTCAAGAACCTCGACGTCGCAGACGTTCACCTTCGCCATCGCGCAGTA